AGCAGGAGTTGCTTCATATGTAAGATATATTTTGATGTGTTTGTGGAAGGAGGTGAGCTCAGCATCCTCCTACTCTGCCATCTTGATCTCCCTCCCATCTGCCCCTGACTTTCCACAGGAGAAAAGTAAGATGATCATCCTACATTTTTCCCCTTTGGACTTCCTCAGGGTATTTCCATACTAAAAGGTTGTTGTTATCTTTGCTGTTTTAGTGGCGATGATACCGTCTAAGACTTAAATTTGTAACAATCTACCTATAGCTGAAGAGTCCAAATCCAGGCTAAGGAAGGACAGGTGATGAAGGTCAAGGAATAATGAGAATGTCCTGAGATGGATCTCTGAGGTTTTCATTTTCACAGATGCATTTTTGTGCAACGTGTATAAGTCATCTACCATTAGTTGTAAATCAATGTGACATTAATTTAGCCATTCATCCTTTTTGCTGCTGCAGAACTTAGAGCTCCTTCCTGGGCTATGGATTTAAGAAGGCAATGCAAACACAGATATAGAAGTAAACTAATTTTGCAATAGAAATAGAAAGATTTCGAAATTTTAATATTCTTAAGAGACTATTTGATTTGTGTTGAGAGGGAGCTGACTTGATTTTCTTAGAGGCTCTAAAGAAGAGTGAATGTGAATGATTGGGCAAGCCAGCATCTTTATAAAGGTGGTTTTTAAATTGCATTGCTTGGAGTGTTTACCATTTATTTACTTGACTTTTGCCCTTGCATGAAAAACTAAAAGGAAATAAGATCTTACTTTGGTTTAAGAAGCTGGCGACGTGGTGAATGGGGAGTTAGAACTTAGGTATTATCTATCCCAGATTCAGGAAGTCAGGGAGATGAGGTTATACGAACGAAAGCTTGTTTTCAAGGTTCCCTCCGCTCTAAAAATTGGGGTTTTTTGCATGAGAAGTTTTAGTCCCAAAATAAAAGATTGGGAAGTGCAAATGTTGTGTAAATGAGAGATCATTCTCTTTTTCCAACTTGGTATTCCTTGATCGAAAATCTTAAATTATATTTATTGATGAGTTAGGATTCACTTCAGAGCATGTTTAAAATTCAAAATGTGACTTGATTTTTAAATCTTTGATTTACATACTTTCGGGAACCCATTTATTATAGAAATCAAGAACAGCTGTGTTCTCCCTAGGGTTGATTGTTTCAGTCAAATCCTTTTAAAACACGAATTAAGAAGATTAGGATTTAATCTTTGTTTCTTCCAACAACAACAAAAAAATCTCATCATAGAGTTAATATACCTCCTAGTCCAGAATGTTATCAGAAAGTACATTCAGTACTGTCTACTTTTTAATCAATGGTATATTTATAACTTTTAGATTATTTTGTAGTTATGTCAGAAAAACTGAAAGATTTGCTCTTTTTATTTTTCCAAATTCACTGAATTTAGGAAGTTATAGGGTGGTGAACCTATCACTGAGCTATTTGGTGAGTATTTTTGCCGCAAGGTACTAGAAAGACAAGAACCATCACCAAAAGTAGGGAGAGGTAACTTGTGGGTTAGCTATTATACTATGTGATACTAATCACAATGCCTTGGTAAGAAATTAAGCACCAAGTAAATCAATAACGATGGTACGCAAGTTTTGGAGAAGGTATTATAACAAAATGTTAGCATTAAACAAACATGTGCAACCTAGGAAGCCTAAACTATTTTTAAAAGCTCATATGGGCAGCTGAAGATGTATTTGTCCCATGTGAATACTAGAGGTGGGTGGGGATAACAAGTAGCTTGCCATATCAAAGAGACTATGGCATACATGGAAAGTGTCTTTTAGAAATAGGAAAAAATCGAATCAAGGAGAATGGGGAAGCTTATAAATTTAGCAGGTCATGTGCGAACTGTCATTTAGTCTGGTTGAAAAAAGAAAAATTGGCGAAATTCTTTAAAATCAGTCATAAGTTTTTAAGTTACTCAAAAGCAGGCAGTTTACTGGGTCTATTTGGTGATGATGGTGCAACAAACTTGACGGAAAAATAATAAACTTTAATGATCTATTTGTCTAATAAAAGAAGATATAAGGGAACATGCTATCTCACTAATTTGTCTCCTGAAATTGATGACCAGGTTAAACTGTAATAAATGAACAGATAATCTAGGTCCAATTAACAAATTAAATATAGACAGTTCATCAGAACTATATAGCATCCTTCTATATTTTGAAGGAACTCAAAGTAAGGTTTTAGGTCTGGACTAATAAAACACTTAAGTATAAGTTAGATTGACATGTATACACTGCTATATTTAAAATAAAACGCCTTCCCATGAAAAAATAAAAATAAATAATAAATTAATAATATGCCATTTCTGTGAGGTTTGGAAATCTTTTTTTCTACTTGATCAGTGGTATATATTCAGCAATATGAGTTTAGGTAAGGTTAAAGGTTATCTTGTGGGAGTAAAATTTGAATTCAGAATTGTACACTGTTAGATAAAGGATATTTCTGAATCAGGAAAGGGCGGTGAATTTATAAATCTAAGTCATGCCTATACATCTGTTAACCTAAAACCTTATGCTTGATTCAGATTTTGTTGTAGCAAAATATTGATTTATTCTGGATTCCTACTGTGAGATGTGTTGTGAAAGTTCAACATATTACCATTTCCTTATGAGTACTTGCAATCATGATAAAAGCATAGAATCTTATTTCAGCCATTGATGAGAACATTACATACAGATAGGATCCCAAGTAAAGAAGAAAAAAAGGACTTGTAGATTCTTGGGTCTTTTGTGCTCTGTGTTGTTTATATGGTGGTTTAGAAGTATAGGTGCAGTGATTAGGATATCCAAGTTGGAGAGAGAGGAGATTTAAAAGGTAATATTTTGCTGGTGGAATGTAAGAATTTTAACAACTCACCTACCTATTGCTTAGATTAGGTATTCTCTCATTATCACTACCATTGCATTAATGTGCAAATTGTGTATATTCAGCTGCTTTATTCTAAAAAGAGTCTGGCCCTTTGGTGTGCACCAGAGACAACATTTGCTATAGGAGATTGTGATCCTTAGCAGGATCCGCTAAGCCCACTTAGTGTGGGTGATCCAATAGAATATGGACTAGTTGGCCATTTGGGATACAGTTGTTCTAACAAAGCACATGCGGAGCGTCAAGGGAGTTTGTATGCTTTTTTTAAAAAAATGTGGTATTGTCTTATGTGATTTATTTTCCTTCATTTAAAAACTTGATGCAAAATGTTTGTGCTCTTTCCTTTCTTTCTCTCCCTGCCCCGCCCTTAGAATAATATAGCCGATCCAGAAGAACTGTTCACAAAATTAGAACGCATTGGAAAAGGCTCCTTTGGAGAAGTGTTCAAAGGTATTGATAACCGTACCCAGCAAGTGGTTGCTATTAAAATCATAGACCTTGAGGAAGCCGAAGATGAAATTGAAGACATTCAGCAAGAAATAACTGTTTTGAGTCAGTGTGACAGCTCATATGTAACAAAATACTATGGATCATATTTAAAGGTAATGTGTACGCTGGATTATTTAAGTCATAAGGTATTTTCATTATAAGTATTTCTTTTTTTTTTTAACTCTGTTTTTCGAAAGGCAATGTCTTAAATTAGGATTTGACAGCCTTTGGCCTCCAGACAGAGCTCAGCTCCATTTGTAGTGCCAAAATAGGCTGTTTTTAGATTTAGCAGCTGTATCCTGAATGCATCCCAGTGCTCAGCTGCAACATTTTTCCACACCTGAACTTTTGGGTTGATAGAGGAACAGAAAGGCAGCTGAGCCTTGAGACATATCCTTTGCCTGGAAAGAGCTTTCTCCCTGGGCTTTTACACATTATTCTCAATGGTCCAGTCTGTCTCAACCTCAGAATTGATGGCATATGTAAGCATGTCACTATTCCATTGAGTTATGGTGGTTATTTACACATCTCTCTCTCCCTCTAGGTTGTAAGCTTCTTGACAGCAGGGAGTTTAGTTCAACCCGTCTTGGTTTTCACATCACTTAGCACAGAGCATGGCACATCTTAAGTACATGATAAATATTTGTTGAAATGGAATTAACTAGATTAATATCTGTTCCCCCCCACCAAAAAAAAAGTTGGATTTTTAGTTTCCAGGATTATGGAATTAGCAGACACCTGAAGTTCCAGCAGATGGAGTTATTACTGCATCACAGAAAACTCTTTGGTGACTAAAACCCAAGAGTTCTTGGGTTCCATATTTATAGAGTCAGGATTTGTGTCTATTGAAATATAAAACAATACATAATTAGAAAAATCTAGCCTAGAGTTTAAATTATCTTAAAATTTAAAAAATGTATCCCCATATTGATATTTTTCAAAGGAGGGCAGTATTAGTTAGATCTTTGATTTTCAGGGCTTACAAGGGGGAAGGATTTTTGTTTGTTTGTTTGTTTGTCCATCTATCTCTAGGCCAAAAGGGTGTGTTTATAACCCATCAGGCTGTTGGCCTGCACAAAAATTGATGCTGTCTTTTTATGTTCTGCTGATCAAATATACCCTAGGATAAACTATCTATATTTGTTAATACTGATATAGAAATTCATCGATTTCCCTGGCTTTTTACAGAGCCTAACCTTTTTTTTTTTTTTTTTTTTGGCTGCGCTGCACGACTTGCGGGATTGAACCCAGGCCCCCTGCAGGAGAAGCGCAGAGTCCTAACCACTGAACTGCCAGGGAATTCCCCACAGAGCCTAATTTATTCTAATAGTACGTGAATTAGGTGACTGTGGCATTAATGCATAGTAGAATGAATCATTAAATAGCCAAACAGTCACTATGTGTCACACACTGTACAAGGTTATGGAGATGTAAAAGTGAACAACTCCTGCCATTAAAGAGCTCACAGTCTCATATTGCACTAAAATAGTGTAGATTTTGTGATTGAATGTGTATAAGGTACAGATGAGGCATAAATAAGAAAATGGTCACCTCTACCCTTTTTTTCCATGATGGTATGAAGGAAAGGCTTCCAAGAGGAGGTGATAGTGCTGGTAACTCGTATACAATATACTTTTAAGTGTTAGCCATTACTCTATTTTACTGTATACCTAATTACTTGATTCTTTGTGGTTCACTTTGCTTTTATATTCTTTCCTAAAAAGCTTATTTAGTGGGTCAGATTCCTTTTTAGGAATCCTATGGGGGTGGTCATTCAATCTCAGTGGTTTTAAGTCTCCCTTCTAATTTCCATAGCAGGCGGGGTTGTAGGCAGCCCAGGGAATTTGTTGTTGGTGGTGGTGATGTGTGTGTGTGTGTGTTTTGCTTACTCTGGTTTACTCTTTCTGGATTGAATCCTTGTAATTCCAGACCCACTCTAGAGCAAATCTGAACACTTGCTATTTTTAGGCACCTGTATCAGATAAGCTAGTTTTGGTGACTGACTTATATTAAAGAAGCCCTATTTAAAATGCGCTATTGTATATTATATTGAAAATGGGTACTGACATGGTATTGAATTTTATTGTTTGCTTATAACATTTCTTTATTCATATTCAGTACTCACATAGAAAATGAATTATAACTCTGTTCTTATTATTTATTCCTAAGATTTCACATTTAAAAAAATTTTCCTCATAGTATACATGTACCAGTCACCCAAAAGATACTTAATCTTTTAATAAATCCAACTGATAGTTTGTTTTCTCTAAATCTTGATTGTTGAATGTTCTCAGGCCAGTTAGTGATACAAAACTGTTATCCAGAATGTCTTCTTACAGAATTAAACTGCATTATTTTTATCTCGTTTACCCGTCATTAATTAAAATACATGATGAGAAAGCCTACTTTGAAGAGCATGTTACTTCATGGTAAAATTGTAGAAATTCACAGATGGCTGCTATTGGTTATATTTGTATCTAGATTATTTGTACACACACATATTATCTCTATATGGATATACATATATATGCACAGAGAAAAAGAAATATGATTTTCTAACTCTTTAATACCATTTATTTAAATTACTTTCTTAAATTGACCACTTGTTTATTTTCCATTTATATTAAACCATAGTGTGACTTCACAGGCTTAAATTTTTTTAAACTAAAATCACATCAAATATAACAGGGTTCTGTTTAGTTCAGTCAGTGAAATGAAGGGTACATCCTCTAAGTACCATCGGAGAACTGCATCATCAATCGACTTATGTTCTTCTTGTGGCCCATCCTTCCATTTCAGATGACATGGGAGATTTTGTGAGTCAAGTTAATTGACTAAAGTAGGATACAGGTTCTTCTCAGGTTGTCCTAACACAGGACATAACCAAGACCCTCACTGTTAGCTGGAGGAAAATTTATTGCACTTGAGAGAAAATTATATGCTCTCTGAAACTGTATGTAGTTGTAGCACTTTCCTTGAGACATGCAGAAATGTACTAGGTATTCATTTTGACTGAGCTCACTGTATAACTTCGTTTTTAAAAACAAGAGTAAAAACCAGACAGACACATCAGTATGACCACAATATTTTCCTTTAATTTTACTTCACTGCAGATTTTCTTGACAGACAAAGTTAGTCTTTATGACGAGTGCTAAAATAAGCAAACCCTTCCCTTCTGATCTCATAACATTGGAAGAATCTTTTATAATCTTTAAATATTTTTCTAGTTCGATGTAAATCTTAAAATGAAGCTCACTCAGACATTGAATAGAACTTGAATCATGCCTTTATTTGCTGCTGAAAATTGCTTTTAGATTTCTGTTTATGTTAAGGAAATATGCCCCCCTCCACATACCACAACGACTGATATTTATTTTAAAAAAAGAATGATTGAAGTAAAATATTACCGAATAGAGTCTGTACAGTTTTGTTTCCTTCTCATTATTTTTCCTGAGACTTTTGTGTGTGCTTATTTCCAAAGTATGGTGAATGTTTCTGGAATATTTCTGGAATATTCTTTAATTTTTAAAAATCATAGTTTTCTTATAAAACTTGAAGGAAGTTGGAGAGGGAAATATTTCCTCCTTGTACAGTGGTTTTTTTCTCTCAAAATAAGAATAGCTTTAAACTTCCTATAATACACCTCTAAGAAGCCCCATATTAGATTCAATTCAGCAGATATTTATTTTTCGGTCACCTACTCTGTGCACTCCTCTCATTCTGCATATTTGCCCTGGTCGGTCTCATCTACTTTATTCTGACAATTTCTAAATTCATGTCTCTGGTTTCAGCCTCTCTCCTTAGCCCCAGATAGGTATATCTAACTTGTCTCATATCTCCCACTTATCTGTGGGTAGGTGCAATAACCCAAAAAGTGGGGAATAGCATTTAAAGTGGGTCTTGAGTATGATTTTGATAGGGTTTGGGATGTGAGGGTGGGGTATAGACAAGGCATTCTAGACTGGAAGAAAACTATTCCAAGGTGGTAAAGTATCTGGCAAGATGATCTCTATTATTCCTTGCAGTTATATAAGATTTCACATTCTGTTTCTTTTCTTACTGTGGTATAATATATATCACGAAAATTACCATTTTAACCATTTTAAATGTACAGTTCTGTGGCATTTCATGCACTCATGTGATTTTGCAACCATCACTAGCATTCATCTCCAGAACTTTTTCATCTTCCTCAACTGAAACTCTGTACCCATTAAACTATATAACTCCCCATTCTCTCCTCACCGTAGTCCTTGGTAACCACCATTCTACTTTCTGTCTCTATGAGTTTCCCTACCGTAGACTCCTCATATAAGTGGAATCATACAACATTTTCCCTTTGGTGACTGGCTTATTTTACTTACACATGCTGGTTTATGTGGTCACTGTTATGATTGGCTATCTGCTTCATAGACCAACCTACTTAATTCAACATGTACTTGATCTATGTTCAATAATTATCTCATAAATATATATAATGGGTATTTTAAATGTTTTTTAAACGTTTTTTCTATGAGCAAATGAATTCCAAGTTCCACAGTAGCATTTCTCCCCCCATAGCCAAGTGTCTGCTTTAGTGGCAAATTCAAAGGCCCCATGAGGTGATGGAGTTGATACTCCAGACACGAGTGATTTGTTAAAACTAGGCTCCAACTTCTCCCCAGTAAACAGTATAACTCTGAAGTACTTAATTCTTTTTTAAAATTTTTATTGGAGTATAGTTGATTTATAATGTTATGTTAGTTTCAGGTGTACAGCAAAATGAATCAGTTATACATATATCCATTCTTCTTAAGATTCTTTTCCCATATAGGCCATTACAGAGTATTGAGTAGAGTTTCCTGTGCTATACAGTAGGTCCTTATTAGTAATCTACTTTATATATAGTAGTGTGTGTATGTCAATCCCAATCTCCCAATTTATCCCTCCTCCCCCCTTACCCCCTGGTAACCATAACTTTGTTTTCTACGTCTGTAACTAGTTCTTGAAGTACTTACTCTTTAGGCGTTCTGAATTTTGGAACAGAGAGCCATTTCCTAACCCCTAACTGACCACCCATGTTGATGCAGGGCTTTATTTTATTTATTTATTTATTTTTGGCTGTGTTGGGTCTTCGTTACTGCGCACGTGCTTTCTCTAGTTGCGGCGAGCAGGGGCTACTCTTCGTTGCGGTGCGCGGGCTTCTCATTGCGGTGGCTTCTCTTGTTGCAGAGCACGGGCTCTAGGCGCATGGGCTTCAGTAGTTGTGGCACATGGGCTCAGTAGTTGTGGCGCATGGGCTTAGTTGCCCCACGGCATGTGGGATCTTCCCAGACCGGGACTCAAACCCGTGTCCCCTGCATTGGCAGGCGGATTATTAACCCCTGCACCACCAGGGAAGTCCCTGCTGCAGGACTTTAAACTTAACTCCTCCAACCCATTGTTAAAACATTTGGATCATTTTATAATTGGAGAAGTGACATTTTTCATTCAGGGACTTCCTATACTTAAATGTGCCAGATATATGGTTATGGTTTAGAGGTTTAGAGTCATTTGGCTCTTTTGGATTTGTAAGCCAGTATGTAGATATCAACTTAGTCTTTTGAGTTATTTAAGAACAAACCAAACATACATATTTGCATTCTCCAACACAAACATCTTTTACCAGAAATCAAAGATAGAAATTGTAGTCCCCCAGAAGAATACAAACACAGGGTCTAGGTTTTTGGGTTGGGTTTGGTTTGTGATTGGTGTTTTCATTAAGACCTGCTGTGGACAAGGAACAAGTAAGAGCCTGTGTGAGTTAAGCTTCCTTGAGTAAGGAGGAGCCCCACCGGCTGGCCATTCCTGCCTGTGCCCACTCGGGCCTCGCTTCAATTCCCCTGCCTGCCTTGCAGTCTTCTGAATGTCTGGACCTATGACCATCCTCCAGCGAGGTTTGTCTGCAGAAGTAACAATCAGAAGGAAGCAGCCAGAAAAGCTATGAGGCAGCTCTGGTTCCCTGCCTGTTTCAGAAGAGTCCTAGTTCCACTGAATAGCTCGCTTGCAAAGAGGAAGCCTTCTTTTCAGATCGGGAATTTGCTTAGTCATAAGTTTACTGACTTTTTAAGCTTTCTGTGAATACATTTTGGTAAGTTTCTGTTTTGAATCGGTACCAGAAAAAAGACACACATTGTTTTTAACTTGGAAAACAGGTGCTTTCATTCATGCAGAACTTCAAAACAGATAAACATGTTTTATAAGATCTTTTTATTTTTCTTTGAATGTCAGGTGAATGGGAAGCATTCTGAATTCATGAGGTAGAATGTAGTACTTAGGAAAAACACGTGGCAAAAGATAAACTTCTCAGGCTGTATGGCATTGTGAGAAACACTTTGTTCTTCTGTAGAAAAAAATAGGAAGACTCATCAGGTTCACAGGTCTCATGTTCTGAGTCCTAATTTCTATACATGGAAACAAGTTACATGAACCACAACTGGAACTCTTCTCCCCTCCCACTGTTATGGGGATTTATTTCGTCTCCTGCCTACTGTATACACCACTCTTTCTCTTCCCAGTTCAAGCTGGCCTGCTGTGACAGGAGAGAGTCGATGTCAAGATGGGCGGGGGACATTGTTCCTTTCTTTCTCTTATACATTCTACATAATGTCAGCATCTTAATTTAACTGAGCCTTCCCTCTCAGGACCCTTACCCTACACCACAACCCATCCCCCCCCACTACAGTGTCCCCTAAACACTCATCATCATGTTATTGGAGTCCATTCTCTGCCATAGTAAAGCCCCAGTCTCATGGAGACACTTGGAAATTTTGAATGGAACTCCTGAGTACTCCCCAGGGATTTTGGAGTTTGAGGACTACTGGCAACAGCTTGAGAATCTTCATTCCACAGCTGGGACTGTAAAGGTGAGAGATGTGTTCCTGGCATCCCAAATCGAAGCACGACACTGAATATATTTTCCCCTAGAAACATTGTTATGGTACAAATGGTAGTGTCTCTGGTATCCTTTCTGCTATACTATGGATACCTTTGTGTTAAATTGTCTTTTTGGAGGACACTGCTCCAGGAACCTAGGCATTATTTTTATGGGAAAATGCTTGCTTTCCAAATTCCAAGCATCTTACTTAAAAATGGACTTTTGGAACACAATCCATTCACAACTTGGCTATTGGCCAGTTTAGCAAAACCAACCATTCTGCTTCCAGTCAATTCTGTGGTCCTACAGTAATTCAGAGAATACCACTCATGAAATGGTATGGAGAGAGAGATGTCTTCCGTATTTCAAACTATAGCTGAAAGAAAAATGATTTAATGATTTATTCCAAATTTTATCTGATGTAGCTGAATGGTGTGTGTGTGTGTGTGTGTGTGTGTGTGTGTGTGTACACCTGTTTTGTAATTCAAATACACGTGTTCCCCCTATGAGCTCCATTTCCTCTTATACAACTTACAGTGAAGTTAATTCTACATGAATTAATCATAATGCTTTTTAAGCTACACATTCCCTTTCTCTTAGCCATTTACCTCTGGGGAGAGGGGGGTCAATGTTCTTTCTAGGTTCCATATGTGTACGAAAAATCCCCGTTAATCCTGGTTGGTAAAAGTTGTAAAGTACATTAAAACAAAAGCCAAAAACTAAAATAAGGCACAGTACCCAGTGTCCTCAAACTCTAAAATCACATGGGAAGTACCCAGAAGCCCCATTCAAAATTTCTACAAGTCTCTATTTACCTCCTCATTCTTTTTTTTTTCCTCCTCATTCTTTAATGTAACTGTCTTTTCCTTTCAGTATCATTATTCAAAATAATTTAAAGCGGTGGTTTTTTCTGGGTTTTATAAAAGTTGCTAACAGTTAAACAATAAGGAACAATAATGTGTTATTTATTTAGCTATATCATATGCTAAATCGGTTTCAGGGAGGGCCAAGACTCAGAACTTGACTTCCATTTGTAATAGTCTCTATGGAAAAATATATTCTGAATTCCAAACAACTAATTTTAAACCTGTATTTTAGAAGCAGTACATTAGTATGTCAGATTTAACATTTATGCTAGTATGTTACTTGGCTCAGGTTTATAATTATTAAACTATTTCATGGCTTTTACAGGGTTCAAAATTATGGATAATAATGGAATACCTGGGTGGCGGGTCAGCAC